CAAGATAGCCGGGTGCAGCGGAAGATGCTGCGCATGATCAACGGTAGTCGTCGCCGGCCGGTGGCTGCATGTGCTCCACCTACCTCCACGTCATCAACAGCGTCATCATATGATTCGGCGTCTGATCGTGATCCCGTTTTGGAGCCATGGGCAGACTGGTGTCAGAGAGTCACTCACGAGGTCGAGGAGAGCTGCCGACGACCACATTGTTCGCGAATGGATCGAGAACCACAAGGGTGCAGCAGCCCGATGGTACAGAAAGATGCAAGAAGCGACGGACAGCTGGGCTCACCGCGCTTCCATCGGTGATGGACAGACCTCCCTTTAGTAGAACGTGGTTTAGTGAAAACGACCTCGGGCCCAAACCTGGCGGGCGCAAGCCTGGAAAATAACGGCCGCGGCGCCCTCTCGAGAACCGAAACCGGCCAGTTCACTAATCGACGTGTCAGGGTGGAAGTTCTGTCCACCCCCAATTCCAGACGGGAAGCTGTTGGGCCGACGCGACGAGCACGGAGACCGACGAAGAGGTGTATTGACGCCATGCTTGAGTCGGGCCTGTCCCCCTACAGCGGGATTTTCGACGAAAAATAAAACATGCCCCCAAAAAAACCAAAACATAGTCCAAAAATAGTATGGGGAATATGTTTGGGGTATTTTGTTTTGCCTTTTTGGGGCATTTTCCCCACATCCAAAGTGGGGTTCTTGTTTTCTCTGCACACCCCCCGCGCAGGATCTCACACCCTCTCTCTCTCTCTCTCTCTTCCTCTTTCTCGCCATCAGCATCATCAGTCATCATCATCATGACCCACGCCTCTCCTCCTCAGCACCATCAAACTTACCCATACACCACTCGATCGCTCACTCACTCACTCACTCACTCACTCATCACGATCATCACATGAGGATATCATCCGTTGGCGTCACACATCACTCAGTCAGTCCGTCACTCACTCGAGTATCAAGCGGGAGCGTCGTCTGTGAGTGAATTGCAAGGAAGTCTCAGGCGGGAGCCTCTCCCTATGGGGCCCGCAGATCATCTTACTAATCCGAGGCGGGTCATCGGGATCCTGTAACTGTCGTCACTTTTGGGCTCCTGGGGCGTGAATTTGTAGGAAGTATCAGGCGGGTGCGTGGTCTGTGAGTGAATTGGAGGAAGGTCTCAGGCGGGTGCTCTCCTATGGGGCCCGCAGATCATGTTACTAATCCGAGCGGGTCATCGGATTCCTGTAACTGTCGTCACTTTTGGGCTCCTCAGGTCTGAATTTGGAGGAAGTATCAAGCGGGAGCCTCGTCTGTGAGTGAATTGCGAGGAAGTCTCTGGCGGGAGCCCCCTCCCTATGGGGCCCGCAGATCATGTTACTAATCCGAGCGGGTCATCGGATTCCTGTAACTGTCGTCACTTTTTGGCTCATCAAGTCTGAATTTGGAGGAAGTATCCAGCGGGAACCTCGTGTGTGAGTGAATTGCGAGAAAATCTCAGGCGGGAGCCCCCTCCCTATGGGGCCGCTGATCATTTCTTACTAATCCGCGGGCGGGTATGGGATTCTTTAACTGTCGTTGACACTTTTGGGACTCGGGGAGTGAGGTTTGGAGAAAGTATCAGGCGGGAGCGTCGTCTGTGAGTGAATTGCGAGGAAGTCTCAGGCGGGAGCCTCTCCCTATGGGGCCCGCAGATCATCTTACTAATCCGAGGCGGGTCATTGGGATCCTGTAACTGTCGTCACTTTTGGGCTCCTGGGGCGTGAATCTGGAGGAAGTATCTAGCGGGAGCGTTGTCTGTGAGTGAATTGCGAGGAAGTCTCAGGCGGGAGCCTCTCTCTATGGGGCCCGCAGATCATCTTACCAATCCGAGGCGGGTCATCGGTAACCTGTAACTGTCGTCGCTTTTGGGCTCCTGAGGCCTGAATATGGGAGAAGTATCAGGCGGGCGCTCCATCCCTGTGGGGCACGCACTTCATGTTCGAACCCGAGCGGGTCATCCGAGCGAGCTTGTTGGGCTCCTCAGTTCCTGCGGCCTGAACAAGGGGGAAGTATCAAGCGGGAACTTTGTCTGTGGGCGGTGCGGGTAGTCCCGTCTGAGGACCGTCTCTTGTCGTCACTTGGAGGATCGAAGGGGAACTCGCTCCTGCGGCCTGAATATTCTCTTCCGACTTGCCCACGTCCAATTGCTGGCCAACCTTGTCGTCGTCGGCGGGAGAGGGAACTTGAAAAGGTTCACTCTCCCGCGTTCGTTTGGGCTGGGGAGGGAACTTGAAAAGGTTCACTCTCTAGCTGCGGGAGAGGGAACTTGAAAAGGTTCACTTTCCCGTTCGTGGCAGGATTGGGCTGGAGAGGGAACTTGAAAAAGGTTCGACGTCTCTAGCTGCGGGAGAGGGAACTTGCAAAGGTTCCCTGTCCCCCCTTGTCGTCGGAGTGAAGGGGGAACTTGAAAAGGTTCACCCTTCATTTGCGGGAAAGGGAACTTGAAAAGGTTCACTTTCCCTTGGAGAGGGAACTTGCAAAGGTTCACTCTCCAGCAGCGGGAAAGGGAACTTGCAAAGGTTCACGTCCCCGCGCGTTCCAACTGGAGAGGGAACTTGAAAAGGTTCCCTCTCCAGCAGCGGGAAAGGGAACTTGCAAAGGTTCACTTTCCCGCGCGTTCCAACTGGAGAGGGAACTTGAAAAGGTCCCCTCTCCAGTTTTTTTCTGACCCCCCCTTTTCCTAACACCGATGTTTCAATGGACTAAGGGGTCACTAACGAAATTTTTTTCTCGGGCGTCGGGGGAGGAATCGCGTTGGCCGGAAACGGAGCTGAGCCTGGCGCGGGCGCTCGATGGAAAACCCTCACGAAACGCTTTGAAATCGATGATTGCGGATGACGAGCAGCACATTTTGCAATTTCCCCATAGGGGGATGGAACGCAATGTACGTTTTTCTTTGGCATGCGTCACGAAAACGGCCCCTCGAGAACGAAAACGACGCAACGCCTTATTTTCATTATGAAACAATTAGCTTTGAGAGAGTTTCTTAGATGCACGTGCCCCGGGGGTCTTGTGGAGGAGGAGGAGGAGGAGGTGGAGGGGCAGCAGGAGGAGGAGGTGGAGGAGGAGGTGGAGGAGGAGGAGGAGGAGGAGGAGGAGGAGGAGGAGGAGGATAGGAGGAGGAGGAGGAGGAGGCGAGGAGCAGCAGGAGGGGGAGGAGGGGGAGGAGGGGGAGGGGGCCAGCGCCAGACCGAGTCGTGAGGAGGGGTCGGAGGAGGAGGAGGAGGAAAGAGGAGGAGGAGGAGGAGGAGGAGGAGGAGGAGGAGGAGGCGGAGGAGGAGGAGGAGGAGGGGCAGGAGGAGGAGGAGGAGGAGGAGGAGGAGGAGGAGGAAGAGGAGGGGCAGCAACGTCAACATCGGCGATGTCGGGCGGACGTTGCTAGGGGCGATACGAGGGTGTTTGCCATGGCCGGGAGGAAAGGGATCAGGGAAAGCTAAACAGATTATCATGTGGGGTCCTTCCGTCGGAGTAATTGGGATATTTTTAATTTTCGTCGAACATTCCTTTGTAGGGGGACACGCCCGACATAACAGGCCAACAAATACCCCCAAAATAGTCCCCTGACTATTTATGGATGATTTTTGTTTTACTATTTTTGGGGGTATCTTTTTTATTTCTCGTCGAAAATCCCCCTGTGGGGGGACACGCCCGACATGGCGCCGTGCCGACAGCACACCTCAGGGACCAGAGAGCCGAGGCTCCGCCGCGCCTCCCGCGCAGGGAGACGGCCTCTGGTCCCGGTGGGCGCGCGCGCGCGTGTGTGGATGGGGCCCTGGGACACACAAATAAATACACACCAATAAAAATATTCCCCATATTTTGCCCCAAGAGCCCCCCAAGAGGCCCCAGGGGAGCCCAATGCGCCGCCAAGGAGCCCCAAGACGCTCCCAAGAAGCCCCCAAGACGGCCCCAAGAGGCCCCAAATAGCGCTCCAGGGCCGGCGGAATGAGCGAAGCGATTAAATAAGTACACACAAATGAAAATATTCCCCATCTTTTACCATATTTTTGGTGTTTTCGTCTTCCCCCCTCAGTTCCCATATCTTCCCATATCTTCTGGGGAATCGACGATGAATTGTATCTGTGTGTTTTCCCCCCTGGTGTGTGGCCTCAGAAACTGGGGGAATCCTTGAGCTTGGCATCGAGGCGAGGCGATGCCAAGCATACAGTCGGCCCTGATCGGACAGGACGCGCGAGAGGAGACACAAGACCCTTCCGAGGACCACACCTGCCACGGGGGGATGCAGGAGGCATGGGTCGCGAGGCACAGGACACAAGGGTACCTAAGGGTAGGTCGGGCCTGTCCCCCTATTCGGGGAATTTGGGCGAGAAATAAGACATACTCAAAAAATGCCCAACAGATGCCAAACAAAAACTCAAAACACAGTCCCCAGACTATTGTTCTACTATTTCTGAAGATTCCCCCTGCAGAGGGACAGGCCCGACTTAAACCTAAGGGTACCCTTGATTTGGCAGGGTCGACCTACTGATCAGGGCCGACCGGCGGCCAGCCACGGGGGGCAGGTGAGAGGGCGCGGGCCTTCTCAGAAGGCTCGGCAGTCCATCGGCCTCCCGACAAACTCTCTCTGAAAGCTCCCCCCGAAGACACGTGCAGCTCCTCGGAAGGCCGGAGGGCTTCTGAGAGGGCCCCGCCGCCTCCTGAGAGGGCATCCTCCTCCTCCTGACGTTACCCCACCCGTTCGCCCGCCGACACACGTGTGAGGACGGGGATCTGTTCCAGCCTGGTGGCTACCCTTAGGTCGGGCCTGTCCCCCCTGCAGGGGAATCTTGGACGAAAATTTGACAATACCAAGAAAATGCAAAAAAAAAAAAAGAAGAAAATACCATAGAAATGCCCTCAAAATGGTCAAAAAAAAATCACCAGACTAGTTTTGGACTGCTTCTGACCACTCCCCCTGTAGAGGGACAGGCCCAGGCCCGACTTGAGGCTGCCCTCCCCCTCCGAGGTTGCCCCCGGGCGGTCGAGGCCTGCGCCTCCCCACCGAGCAGCAGGACCGGCGCCCCCGTCCTGCCGGCGATGACGTGCCCCCCCGCCTCCGCCCTGCGCACGGACCCGAACTTCGCCCCGCAGGCCCTCGCGATCTCCTGCGGGGGAGCAGTCCGTCGAGCCCGGCGCTCAAGCGGCGCGCTGGCAGATGCAGTGGAGGCCAGTGCATCCAGCCATCCATCCATCCATCCATCCATCCATCCATCCATCCATCCATCCATCCATCCATCCATCCATCCTCCTCCTCCTCCTCCTCCTCCTCCTCCTCCTACCTCCTCCTCCCTCCTACCTCCTCCTCCCTCCTCCTCCTCCCTGCTCCTCCTCCTCCCCCGAGGCCAGGCCAGGCTGAACACCTTGCACGAGAACGCCAACCCTGAGACCCCAGGACGTCCATCGAGTTTCGGTGTGGGAACGTCGCGCCTTCCACAGCAGAACCCTCGAAACCAAAGAAACCCAGGGCACCCTGGAGGTGAGCAGTGTGTTTCTTGGCATGGGCCTCCACTGCAAAAGAGTCAGGAGTGTGCCGCTCGCGGCTGGAGGGGGGAGGAGCGGGACAGGAGGAGAGCGGAGGAAGGGGAAGGAGGGGAAAAAAAGCCAAAGCCAATGATCGTCGCATTGGCTGCGAACGCATGCAGACCATTGATTGGTCCTGGGAGGGCGAGGCAGGGGGGGGGGGGGCAAACTGGGGGGACCAAGACGTCTCAGGGAGGCGGAACAAAAATATCAGCCCTCGAACGCCCTGAGGAGCGCACAGCCCCGGAGGACGACCGACGACGGCGAGAAGAGGTGCCATCCCTGCAGAGCGGCAACGAGAACACGACGACCGACGGCTCGTCGAGAACGGGATCGTCTCGACAGACTTGCATGAGCACGCCTCAGGCGCGCCCCACCTGCCTCCGTTGTCGAGCCCCCTGAGAAGGAGGGCTGACCAGTATGAACCCAAGACGCATCAATGATATTGCAGTACATCCTTCCTCCAAATTCCCTCTTCACAGGTCCCTGCAGGAATCTGCTCTCATTGCGGGAGGCGCCTCATTCGAAGACAGCCAACCGTCCGAGAGTCCTCGACAGCAGGAGTGAGGAGGGGGAGGGAGGGGCGACCCGGGGCCTTGAGGATCGAGGACCTCGGGCGCGTCTGATCCCTCATTGGGGCCCGTCGGGGCCTCATGAGCCAGAACACTGCAAACCAGGGCTCTGCCAAATCTGGCGCGATGAGACCCGGGTCGGAGAACGTCCCGACCCGCTGCCCTGGCCTATCTCACCAGCCCTTTGGGCGTAGGAGGCTTCAGGAGTACGGTCAACGCGCACAATGAGGACGCACGATAGGGATGCAAGGGCCCTGGAAGGCCATTTCGACACTTTGCGAGCGGGGCGCGGCCAGCGAGCGCGGCCAAGGACAGGCCGAAGGGGAAGGATGCAAGGGTGAACCTTGGAAAGTTGGTCATTCTTACTATGCGGGTTGACTGTAGCGGTCGCCAACACCCTTCTTCCCATCGGGGGAGAGATCTGAATATTTATGCCCTGGATCCCTCTCCTCGGGCCTGGACCCCCCCCCCGCGAGGGCCACTGGAGCGTCCAAGGTGGCCTGGCCCCATAAGGGCACCAGCTGACCCAAGACGGTCTCTAAGATCACACTAAAGGGGCCAAGGGACACATACATATATATATATATATACACACTAGAACCATCGCGCGCGCTTCGCGCGCGCTCAGGTTCTAGCCCAGGCCAGGGGCGCGCTTGAGGATCTTGGACAGCGCTATCAAGCACAGGCGCGTGATATAGTCGTGCCTCCTGAGGGCCTCTTGGAAACCTCTTGGGTCTTCGTGGGGGCATCTGAAGGGCTTCTGGGGGGCCCTCCATGCTTCCTCAATTGGCTGTTGCAGGCACATCTTGGGTGCTTCTCGGGGGGCATCTTGGAGCTTCTTGGGGTCCCGTGAGGGCATCGTCAGGGTTCTCCGGGCAGTCGGAAAGTGATGTTCTGCAGCCTGAGGCAGACAATTGGCCGTCTTGGCTGCGTAGAGGCCCGGCTTGAGGCCACATTGGGGCAATCCGGAAGCCTCCCGGGGCCTCCTTGAAGCAATATGGATTGGCCCCGTGTACGTCTCCTGTGAACCTTTTGTGGCCTGGTGGGGGGCTTTGGTGGGCCTCGTCGAACCACTTGGGGACTCTTGGGGCCTCCTGTGGGCCTCTTAGGGCGAAAGGCTCTGCTGTTGGGTTCGCGTTCACCTTCTTGGGGCTCTCTTGGGGCCCTCTTGGGGCCCTCTCGGGCCGTCTTGGGCGCCTCGGGCACCGTCTTGGGGCTCTCGTGGGCCGTCTTGGGGCCCTCTTGGAGGCCTCTGCGGTCTTGGGGGCCTCTTGGGCCGTCTTGGAGCGTCGGGAAGCCAAAAGGCTGGGAACTTTAAAATCCATCAAAAGCCGATAGGAAAACATTGCTTCTTGGAACCTCTTCGGCCTTCTGGGGAGCTTCTTGAGGGCCTCTTGGGTCCCATTTGGGGGCCTCTGGGGCTTCCTGAGAGCCTCTCGGGGTGGAAGGCTCGGATTTTCGGTTCGTCTTACCCCTCTTGGGCCCCCCTTGGGGCCGTATTGGTGCCCTCTCGGGCTGTCTTGGGCCCTGTTGGAGGCCTCGTGGGCTATCTTGGATTGGTCTTGGAGGCCTGTTGGGCCGTCTTGGAGCATCAGGACGCCAAAAGGCTGAAAACTCTAACAGCAATCAAAAACCTACGGCAAGACATGGATTTGTGCCTCTTGGGGCCTTCGTGGGAGGCCTCTTGGATACGCTTCGGCCCCCTGGGGGGCTTCTTGGGGCCTCTTGGAGCCTGTTAGGGCTTCTCGGGGCCTCCTGAGAGCCTCTCGGGATGGAAGACTCGGATTTTCGGGTCGTGTCAACCCTCCATCTTGGGGCCGTGTTGGGGCCCTCTCGCTCCGCCTTGGACGCCTCTGGCGCCGTCTTGGGACCCCCGTGGGCTGTCTTGAGACTGTCTTCGAGGCCTCTGGGGATGCCTTGGAGCGGAAATTGAAGCCTCTTGGGCCGTCGTGGGGCGTCAGGAAACTCAAAAGGCGAGAACTCGAAGGGGCCTGGAAGCCAAATAAGTTGTGCCTCCTGGGGCTCCTTGGGAGCCATCTTGGAGACCTCTTGGGGCGTCTTGGGAGCCTCTTGGACAGTCAGGGGCCAATTCTGGGGTGATCTCGGGCGGTCATTGGTCGTGTTCGTTGTCTGGAAACGCCATTTCTGGCAATCCAGGGCCGTCTTCTGGCGACTTTACAAGGCCCCCAGCGCCACGGCAAGGCCCCCGGGCCTCCCGGCGCGAGGGCCGTCCCTGGGCCGTCTCGGCGCCCTCGTGGGCCGTCTCGGCGCCCTCGTGGGGTGTCTGAAACCCATCAAAAATCGAAGATCAATGATTTTGGCGTCCCTTTGGGCCGTGTTGGAAGCCTTGTGGGCCGTCTGGGGGCCATCTTGGGCGCGTTCGAACGGTATGTCCTCGTTTCCGGGCCTCCTGGGGGCCTCTTGCGGCCCTTTTCGTTTGTGTTGGGGCTTTCTTGGGCCGTGTGGGGGCGGCCCTGGGCTGTCTCGGCGCCCTCTTGGAAGCCTGTTTGGGAGATTTCTGTCCTGGACCGTCCTCCTTCAACGTCGGCGGCACTGACCGTAAGACTTCCTGGGAACATGATTTGTTGGGGTGTCGTTGGGCGCCTCCGGAGGCTTCGGAACCTGACGCGTTTCCGAGCATGACGGCAGGTAGCGCTGCTTGGGGCTCTCGTGTTTTTATCCTGGCGGGCGTTCAGGGAACATGGTTTGGGGAGAAGGCGGCAACCCGAGAATCATGTTCCCGGAAGCTTTCCGGGAACATGATTTGTTCGGCTCTCCTAACAGGGGGGCCTCTGGGGGCTTACCGAGGGGCCCTTTTTGGCCTTATCGGCAAACCTATTGGAAACATGGTTGGGGCGGTGGAATGAAGCCCAAGGAATCATGTTCCCGGAAAGCTCTGGGAAATACGATTTACCGAAGTCTCTTGGGGGCCCGCAGGGGGCCTCCCTGGGGCCTCTTGGGAACTCATTGGGGCTTCCGGGGGGCCTCTTGGGAGCCTCACGGGGCTTCTTGGGAGCCTCTTGATGGCCTCCGGGGGCGTCCTAAGAGCCTCTCAGGCTGGAGACCTTGAAATGTCGCGCTCTTCGGGCCCTCTTGGGTCGCTCTTGGGGCTCTCTTGGGGCGCTCTCGAAGCCCTGTTGAATCATCTGGGGAGCCTCCTGGGCCGTCTCTGGTATTTCTTGAGAGCCTCTTCGGCCGTCTTGGAGCGATCTGAACGGCCTCTGACGCCGTGGGGAGGCGGAACATGCGATAGCGCAAAAATGCGGGGCCCTGTGGAGGGGCCTCTGGAGGCGCTCTTGGGGCGTATTGGCGGCGTCGTCGGCCGTCCTGAGGCCATCTTCGGCGTGTCCGGGGCCTCTTGAGGCTGTCTTGGCAAGCTTTAGGGCCCTCTTGGCGTGTCGTGGCGCGATTGGGAGCGGACCTGGGCAGTCCCGGGAGCGCTGGGGGCTGTTGAATGCTAGGTGTTGTCTTGGAGGCGGAGGCTGTTGAGTGCAGGGTGGCGCGTGCTACGCGGAAGGCGGGCGAGCGGCCAGGCGAGCGGTGTGCAGGGGGGTGGCGGGCGGGCGGGCGGGTCGGGATTTGAATGGATTCCTTAAGGGTGCTCTCTTGCAGCGGGAGCTTGTTGAGCACAGGGTGTTGCCTTGAAGACGGGGGCTGTTGACTACAGGGTGTTGTCTTGGAGACTGAAGCTGTTGAGTACAGAGTGGTGCGTGCTACGCGGACGGCGAACGGGCGGCGGGTGCCCTAGGTGGTGGGTCAGAGGCCTCATGGGTGTTGGTTTGGATCTCGTGGTTGGCCTGTCGGGAACGTCGTGAACGCAGTTTCGCATCTTCTCGGTGACCGTTTGGGGGCCGTAGTGGGGCCTCCTCGGGGCTGTTTTGTGGCCTTTTGAAGCCTCGTTTGGGCCTCCTGGGTGCCTCTCGGGGGCCTCATGGGGCCTCTTGGGGGCTCCTTGGGGCCTCCTGGGGCACTCTTCAAGCGGGAGGGTCGAATCTTGGATTCGTGGTCCCCTC